GACCTTGACCTTGCAATATGACAATTGAGTATCTCCGAAATTTCTATAAACAAAATATCTAACCTCAAGGTCACTATGGGGCAAAGATATAGCCAATTAACATCGGTAAAATTAGCTGAAATGCCCTGTATATTTTTCACTTAACTCTTTACTCGAAAGACGGTTTTACTTACAACTTTGTTATCCTTCTAAACCAACAATAATATATTGATGCAGCATAGTGCAACTCATTAATCAGCAGAAAAATTTATTGAATTGATTGCGGATAAAGGTTTTAATCGATATAAGACAAAATGTGTTAATCAAAGATTAAACATTAATCTTTGGTGTTAAAAGTGTTGTTGTTTTCGAAAAATTATTTACCAATTAAATATAATCGAAAGAATAATCTTAGGCGTTTATTGATAGTAAATAAATTATAAAGATCCTTTCAATTAACATTCGCATCATTTACAAACGTTCAACATCAAAAGTAAATTGAAATTGCAACAGTTGCTCAAGTCTCAACATGTCATCTTCACTACAGAATGAAAGATACAAAATGCTGTTTATATTATCAATTATCTTAATTTCAACAATTAAAACAGGTAAGAAAAAGATATTCATTAATTGACTGTAACATAAACTCAATCCATTTCTATTTCAACTACTAAATACACGAATACAGCAAGTGCTACAGATTTGGTTAACTTACCATTAAGCATACCTAGCAAAAGCGTTGACATTAACGCTACTTTAACCGATTCCGTAAGTTTAACCAATTGTCATTATTTTAACTCTTAATATTTTGCGTCTCTCTTGTCAGAATGCTGGTACTAAATATTTCATTCAAGAATCAATATCAGCTTCTGGTGAATCCATTAGGGGCAAAATCATGATCTCAGGTGAAAAGGATTCCTACAACATCTATTATAATACTGCTCCTAGTTTTAACAAGATCCGCCTGGTTATTCATGGTAAGAGTTTAACAATAAATTGATGAAATTATAAAATATTAATATACAATATGTATATATAATAATGAATAACTTTCTTTATTATGATTCGATTGGTGAGAAAATTGTCTGTCGAGAAATAAGATTATATTCACTCATGATATTTGCTATGAAATTATCTTAATGAGAATTCCAACTTTTTCATGATTTAAAGACACAAGTTGTATACCATTCACTTTCAAAAACAATTGGGATCAAATTTTACCTGGAATCAAAAGACCTGTGCTCAATCTGATTCTCTTAATGGGACCTTCAATTTTATACCGACTTGACCATTTCTCACTTGTTTGGGTAAGTATTTCAATAACATTATGAGAATATTTTAGTCAATTACATTTGTTGGACAACAGAAATCAGTTGAAGATAAAAACATAAGAGGAACCATGATGAAGGGTGCAACAACTGAAATAAATGAAAGATTGACAATCACTTATTATTACAAAAGTGAGTAGAAATTGATTGATTAGATGAGCCAATTCAAACCATTCTCATGCGTTTTCATTTACAAAAACTAGAGCATTTTGATGACGATTCTGGAATCAAAAATCCAAGTCGAATTGAATTCAGTGGTTATGATCCTTATTCAAGTTCACCCATTTACGACGAGAATCTTGTACTTGATATTTACCTTCAAAATGAGAACTATTATGATCAACTTGCGAATGAAGTTAGTGTAAGTATTTCACTTTTCCTTTGTATTATTCGGACTAATAATCGTTAGTTCACAATGCAACAATATTTTGAACTTTTGTTGAAGTAATTTCAAATATTGAAGAGTTAAAAGATTTTATCATTTACACATTTTGACTCTTAACTTTTGTTTAGCCTTTACCTGGAATTGGATGTCCATATTACTTGTCCACAAGCGAGCCTTTATTCCCACGAATGCAAATTAATTATGTACATTACACTATGTACGAGTACATTAAGGGTTCAACTACTTCTCGAACATTCAGTGAGGTTAGTTTGTTTGGTAAAGTATTTCACATTTTATAATACATTCATTTTCATTCCATTTTCAGATTCACGCATCAAGAAGGACTAAGTTATTACGAGTAAAAGCAACTCTTCTTGGTGTAACAACTGAAGCTATTTATGATTATAACCTCGGAGTTTCTTACCTCTTTGGAGAGGGTAGTTCCTGTAGAGCATTGTCTACAGATTTAAATTCACCTGGAGTCAGTTCTGATGGTCAATTCAGTTTGACAAATCTTTTCCTTCTTGATTTTCCTGCCAAATACAGATATTTGTATCTTGGAAAGCTTAACTTAGTAAGTAACCAGCTGATCATTTATCGATGAAATTTCATCAATAATCTGCTTAAAACATATTTGTTAAATGTAATAAAAAGTGATTACTGCACCGACCCTTAATAACATTTACGGTTAATTGCGATCTGTAAAGGAAAATGGAAAATCATGAAATGTGTTGCCGAAAAAAATTTGACAATTTTTCTGAAATACTTTTTTGAAATTTTCCTAGGAACATCGATCTGGATTTCCAGTAGACGTATGGGAAACAAGCAGATTTAATGTTAACATAAATGGAAAAAAGGCCGACAAAGCTGTCATTACGCATTATTTTGCTGCATCGGTAAGTTTATCATGATTACGTTAAACTTTACAAACATGAAATAACTATATCAACATAAAGTAAAGCTCGTTTGAGGCGCTGTGAGAATAGTGAACTGAAAAGGACGAAATCTTCTCAATAACAAAGGGTTATGATTTTTAAACAAACTAAAATTAAGTGTCTTTCAAGTAAAGAGTAGTGTTTTTCGATATTTTTTCTGGTATGGATCGAAAGTAGTAGCGACCACTCCTGAAGTCAGTGGGTCTTAGAGCCAAATAACATGGCTGAATGGCTCGGAATCCATTCCCCTAGTGGCCATGTTATGCCTGGCTCCAACGAGTCATAAGTCTAGACAATGTGAGGAATAGGTAGATGCAATTTTATTTAAGCATTTATTTATTTGAAAATTATATTGATTATTTTGATTAAGGGTTAAACCCTGCTTCGTTTAAGTGACTGGCCCTGCTAAAATTGAGGAAAATTCCCGCTCAAAATTTTAATTTTTTTCGATCGGAAGGACCGACATTTTTAAGGAAAGTATCGATTATATCGATAGATACTAGTATAGAAAATATCAATAAAAAAATCGGAAAAATCGCTCCGTTTCCAGGCTTACATACCGAATTTTTTAATTATTCTTGACAATAGATGACAGAAATGTCGAAATTTGAGGTCAGTTCTCTTTGTGAACAATCCCAACCGTCATCGATTTTTTGAAACGGGCAGATTCGCGCTCCGTCATTTTGCTCGGTTGTTCGGCCAAAATTCTCATGATTTGATAATTTTTTTCATTCCTAACTCTTCTACCAATTCAATAGACTGCTCCTAATTTGATTTCATGAGCCCTCAGTTGCTTACTGCATTCACACATTACTTAGTTTGGGATGATCACCAGAAATATCAAATTTGAGATTTCGACGTTAACTTAAACTTAACACCATTTGAATTGAGTAACAAAGGGAAACTAACCTGAAAATTATATCTAATTGAAGATTATTAAATTTCCGTTAAAACAAGTCTAATTTGGTAACAATATGTCATGACTGTCAATCGCATGCAAATTCAAAGTTCTTACTTCCATTCTTTACCAGTCATACCTTAATTAAAAATTTTCTATGGTCGTAGGTTTTTGATAAAATGCGCTTTCAAGGTGAGAACTTTCAAGGCTTGATCTTCATTTTGTTCAGTTGCAGAATCAAATTTTACATTAATTTTTAGTTTTTCTAATTGACGATGGTTTTCATCAAGAATCCGGTTCTCAAATGTGGGTTGAAAGCATCTTACTCACAAGGGAGGTCCACGAAGTTTAGATAGAAAACCCTGTAACTTTAGTAAAAGTGCGTATACTCAGCTAATAAATTCCCTTTTTTATCTATTCGACGGGCATTCTATCAAATGAGCTATAAAACATTGAAATCTGTGGATATCACTTCGTGGACTTCCCTTGTCAGTAAAAAGAAATTTTTGATCAGATATGATCGCTGCAATTTCTAGATATTTTATCATTATTATACAATTGTAATACAAATAACTGTTATTAAAGTCTCTCTCTTAAGTTTCATCCCTCATATTTGAACGAGAAGAGAAATAGAAAGCGCTTGTAAAAGCCGTAGGCTGGTAGACAGCCGATCACTGTACAAAAAATATAAAACTGATGTAAATGTAGTGAAAATAGTGCAAATAAGGTTATTATAAGATAACTTAAACATATGATTGACTTGTGTAACTTCATTTTTTATTTCTCATTCAATTTGTTCTCACTCATATTAATAATAATTTGTGTTAAAATATTCAATCAAAATGTCTTTTAGCAAAACAGTGCTATATTTCGTGACTATACACTTGTCAGTACCAAAATTGCCATCTATAAATTGGATCCATCGGTAAGTATTCCTTTAAATGATTATGATGCAAATGAGATAATATATGTTTTTTACATATTTTTTGTCTTTTGCTAGAAAAAAACTTACACACTGACGGATGGAATCACAAGAGATTACATGAACTTTGAAAAGGTTGGATCTGAAGATGAACTTCATGATATTTTTACATTAAGAGAGTGTAAATACTTAATTAGTGATAAAACATTAACCCTCGGCTTCAAAATACAAACCAAAGGTATGCTTTAGTCAATATTTAACTGAGCTGTGACTCACAGCATGTGAGCTTGTGTTACTGCAATGAGGTTGATCAAGACCACATCTTTAAATAAAGTTCAGTGAGATGTTGCAGATTTTCAGTTTTTGCCTAGTGTTAGCCACAGATTTGACAATTTAATTTATCTGATTTATTAACAATCAATGTAAAATGTATGAATAATATAAATAATTGATCTTAACTACTGATAATTTTCTTTTCCACTTCCAGATGACAATCTATCTACAAAAATCGCGGAAAGTCGTGTTTACGAGTTGAAACAAAACTTCATGTTATTTGCTATTCCATTCGAAAAAATCAGTCCACTTCGTGTCGATACCGTTCAATATAATTTCAATGACGCACAACTTGAAATAGAGGTGACATTCCTGGATGCACCTAATTTGCAATGTAATTATAATTTGACAATTTAGTTAAATTGCTGAATTTTTTTCTTTTTCAGACATTTTCAAACCTAAAACTGTGTCTGTAAGTGCAGATACGTTTAAAAAGATGAAAACAATCAAAACAAACACTGAATATGAATGTCGGGACAAACTAGCAAAATATCAAGATAATATCAAGTATATATCTCGAAACCTAGTTATTTTTATTTTATTGAAAACTAATAATTTTGTTTTTCTTTCAACATTCAGTGTAATAATTTATAGACCATCAGATTCTTCCTGTGGATATTTGACTAATGTTGCGGATCTCAAGGAAGATACGAAAACTGGACAACCATGCAACGTCTATCACTTTCCTTTACACAATTTGCATCGCATTGACCAAGAATTACCACTCGATCAAATTCACACTGCTTTTCTGCAAAACGTAGGAGAAAGTTACTTCTTATTAAGTTTGAGCAATAAACATGAATATAAAGGTAAGTACTCCTCGACCTTTAGCCATACAGGTGCAATATTTCCACTTTTGAATGCTTAACTTATAAATTATAGTTATATTAACTTCGAAAAATTAAGTACATTTGGCAATGTATTGATGGATATTTTTAAATCTAAAAAAATCTTATTGTGAAAATAGTCATACAATCTTTATACAGTCATATTCAAAACTTTAAAGCCAAGGTTTTGTCCGAACTCAAATCAAATTTAAGTGCACTTTTAGTCTATCAATCCTAAATTTTTTTAAATATAATATTTTTAAAGGCATTGGATTCTGATTGCATAAAAAATTACTCCTGAATTCATTTTAATAAATCAGCCAACAATCAATTAATTCAGTACTGTTAATTTAACATGGTAGCTTTTTTGTCAAAAGTTTAAAGCATTTTACAAAAACTGGCGAACGTGATCGAATTTTTTCTTGAAATTTCACTATGTAATAAATCATCTCGAGAACCGATGCAGTACCTAAAATTAACGAAAAATTTCGATAGTTAACTAAATTATTGACTTTTTGGTTTTACATTGATTTCTATGGCAATGAACTGAATTAGGTTGATTAATCACGACCAGATAGGTCAAAAATTATAAAAATGGTATCTCAAGAGAAGCGCAAACATTCTGATTAATTAGTCGAAATTTCGTTATCATTGATTCAATCGTTCTCGGCTGAGTCATGTTTTACGGTCTCATTCGAATTCTTCCCATTGATTTCAATGGGATACTTCGAACACAATAAGAAAAATCAGGTTTTGTTGAGCACGATTTGTTCGAAGACAACGAAATTTAAGTAAATTATTCAGAACCATTGTGCTTCTTTTGAGATACCATTTTCATAATTTTTGACCTATCTGGTCGTGGTTAATTACTTCTTTTCAATTGTTCGTCATAGAAATCAATATTAAACGAGGAAGTTCATAACTCGGTTCATTATCGATATTCACGGTTAATTTTTGGCACAAAATTGGCTATCAGGATGTTTAACTCGTTAGCCAAATTCAAAGAAAAAATTCGATTGCATTCGTCAGATTTTACAAAATGCTTTAAACTTTTGACAAAAAAGCTGCCATATTAAATTGACAGGCCCTGATTAATTAATCAGCTACTAATTAACTAAACTCAATTCAGGTGTAATTTTTTATTTTATCATAAGTCTATACTTTCAGAAATATTACCCTGAAAAAAATTCACTATAGTTATATTTAAAGTGCACCTAAATTTGATTTGACTTAAGACAAAATCTTGGCTTTAAACTTTTGAATATGAGTGTATTAAGACTATTATTATTTTATAAGTTAGTCAAATAAAAAGTACCGATTCTCCCAATTAAATAGATCTAGTTTGGACTGTGTGGTTCAAAAGTGGGAATATTTCACTCGAAATCTAGAGCCTAAATTTGATCAAAAACTCTTCTTTAACCTTTTCTTTCAAGTCGGTAATCATAAATTAATTGATGTCATTGATAAAACGAAAAACCAAGTTACTTCGAGAAATTCTTACATAAACACAATTAAAGTTTGTGCAAAATTGAATAGCAATGATCAAAATACAGTGACTGTACCAGCTGTAAAAACTTTGGCTGATTGTTATCGATCTTGTCATGATTCAGAGCAACTTAAATGCAATACATTCTCATTCTGTTCAAATGGTGACTGTAGAGTCAGCAGCTTATTGTCTGAAGATTCTCATAATGATTCGCACGTTGAGCAAGACAAATCATGTTCTATCCACGCTTTGAATGTTCTCAATGATTATTCAAAAGTACCTCATAGGAAATTCAAAACACAAACTTCGGTCGCAGTCGAAAAAAGTCTTTATTCTTGTGCAGAATCTTGTCATGCTTCACCCGAATGTTTTTCCTTCCAATGGTGTGATTATCAATGTAGTTATGGTGGTGTTTATACAGATGCAGCCACTAAATATGATGGCGAATGCAGTGTGTTTCTTCGTAAGTGTTCATGAATACGAGTACCATTTATTGTTATTAATCAATTTCCTTTTCGCCTTTTCGCAATTCAATTAGCCAAAGTATCTGAAAAGTACCAAAAGACTGGCAACAAAATCGTATCTGATGTGCTTCACACTGAAATGAATTTAAATTTTGAACAATGTGCATCATTATGTCATGGATGGTCCGATGGTGGCACTGGATGTAAATCATTTAATTATTGTCCTAAAAGCTTGAAAGAAAGTTCGTGTTCATTGGCTCAATTTTCAGTTAAAAGTTCAAATACTAAGACCACTGAAGGAGGCGATTGTTCAAATTATGAATTGAAAGGGGAATTTAATGGAAAGAATAGCAAAGAATCCAGTTCGACTGAGGTGATGAAAGGAACAAGTGGATCAGGTGCTTTCGGAATAATTATGCTGTTCTTGTTTGTCGGTGCTTTATTGGGATTCGCTGCACCATTTGGTTATACAAAAGTTAAACAAGTGCTTAATGCTTCAGAAACCAATGAAAATTTCAATTGGACAAGGCAATTAGATGAACAAGGTACTGATGAGAAGTTTTAAATCTCCGTGTCAACCTTATCACTGATTTTTAGAAGAACAATGGTAAACTTTTGCTTCGTTCTTTTATGACTAATTTTGTGTCAATTATCAAATAATAAATTTATATCTTGTTTACAAAATGCAACAAAAGAAAGAGCATTCGTTAAAGCCCTTTTAAAACACTTGCTAATTGTATTGACAATGGGTAAACTTGAGAGGTATAAATTCATAATCTTTTATCAGAGTTTTCGTCGTGTTTTTTTACAGTAAATTTTTATTATAATTTACAACGAAAATTATTTTTGTGAAAACATGTTTCTAGCAAGAAAATCTCTATTTTGATTCTCGAATGGTTTTCCTAGAAAGAGTTTCTTTTTTATCGAATTCATTTGTAAAGTTCTGGTAGTGATACCTCCAATAAATTGTTGTCCCTTGATTGCTCGAAGATAGAGATGAACTGTTCAGAAAGTTACTCAAACTTATTTTTCACGCCTTATTAAAACATTATGAAAACCATAGACAGACATATATTTGCGGTGTATTAAATTTGCTGGATGACATTTCTAAAGGTCATGGTAATGAGCAACAATTAATGATTATAACTCGTGATTCTAATGGTGATCCATGGATCTGACTTGGAGTCATTTGCTAGTAAATCATGAGATTATGGCCTGTGTTATCGACTACTTTGACACTATTTCAAATGTTTAAAGCATTGTGGATTATCATTTAATCATATCGTTGCATTCAATTCAATCACAACTTGATTATTGTTTGAATTGAAATCAACCAAATAATCATGGGCGGTGAATCATGATTCGATTTTTACGCAATAGAAATGGTTAAAGGTGAGAAATAACAAACAAAAAAAACGCTATAATGTACTTAACATTATTCAAAAACTGATTAAATGTTACTTGGGTCGATATAATCTAATCATGAACTGATTAAATGTTATTTGAGTGGTTTTAAAGTTGAAATAAAAAACAAAGCAACAATGATGTATGTAGCGATAAATTGTTGATCAAGCCTATGATTGAAAAAATCAGGTAGATATAAAGGCGAGCTCAGATCAGTTCAATTCATTAAAGTTTTTCTCATTGTTCTGAATCAATTCAGCTTGTATTGATTTTATAGTTTAACATTGACTAACTGATTTAAAACTACCAAAATGAAAACTACGATTGGACTCATCTTTTTACGTAAGTTACTAATTTTTGCTTGGTTTCCAATTTCTTTTAATAATTTCAATTTTGATTTTAATTTCAATTTAGTTGCTGCGATCAATGTGTCATTATGCTCAACATTGCGCGAGTTGGAATTCATTAAAGGTCTATATCCTCATGAAGATATACCGAAGCTATTGATATCATCATTGGTAAATCGACGAATTGATCAAGTCAGGACTTTATATAAAGGAGAATCAATTGGAAAAGACGCAAAATTTTTTTTAAATACTACTGATCAATCGTTACAATTACTGTTGCAATCAATGGATTCAAATATTAATGACACTCAAATCGTTTTAGAAAATTACTCGCATATCGTGGACATTATAATGGATGTGTTCCATATCATGCAAGTTCCTAATTTGGATTACGTCAGTGTGAATTCAGGCTCCAGTTTTGCTGAAGAGGAACTTCAACATTTGATGGACGCTTATATTGGTGACATTGAGATGGTTCGTGTATGTGAAGAGTCCTTAGGACGTTCAGACCGAGTGGATATGAATATCGTTGATCGTTTAAAATCGTTATCCAATGAGATTCGAAATTTGAAGTTTTACAGGGACGACAAATACAATACTGAGTATTACAATACTGCTACAAAAACAATCGAGTTATTTTTTTGGCAATTTAAATTCTTGTTGAATCAATTTACAGAAAATTTTTCTAGATACTTTTTCTAGAAATGCTTTTGAAATTTTCATTATCTATTGAAATCGAATAAAAATTAAAGCAAATAAAATTGTTAAGCAATTATTTAAATCTTGAAGAGGGCATAAAATACCACAATTTATTAACGGAGAAACTTTGGTAAATTGCAATTGTAAATGACTGTTTACCACTCAAAAAACATTGGATAGTTATTTGTGTAGATAGCGATAGTTGAACACAACTTATCATTTAAATTCATTAAAAATTTCAACTAATTCTAAGTGAATGATTACTCTGGGTTTGCAAGTGTTCTCATTCTGACTGAAACTGAACAGATAACACGGGCGATCCAGCACGTCAAATAACTTTTCTTGGATTAAACTGGTTTAAAAGTTGCAAAAAACAACAAATCAACTCTATCATGTACCTAACTTTATTAATTACCTGATTAAATGCTATTTGTGTGGACTATGAAACTTGCGTAAACTTTACTTTCTATTAGTTAGTACTTTCTACTACTAATACTTCTAATAATTTAGTTGAAGCTTTCATACATGTTTTTCAACTCAAAACTGAAGTCAACAATTCCATTATTGAGAATTACAGAAATCTTTGACTACAGCCAAAATATTCAAACAATTGATTCTAATACAGTTGGTCGATAATATTATTGTACTCATATAATAGTTGCATCGAGAAAAAATGTTTCGTTTAATCATACTTTTAGCCTGTTTGCCCTGATCACTTTTGCAAGTGATGTTGAAAATAAATCTGAGTTTAAAGAATCCGAAGTAATATTAAATACCTTTAATAATACCGATGAAAATGACGATATCAAGCTGCAAGAAAACGCTGATATTTCTTTGTACATTGGGATATTATACATTTGAAATAAAATAAAGCCTCCAAGTATCTCACTAGTACTTTAATACTTCCAGCGATGGATGACATGAGAATATTTAACTTTCTTTGAGAAATTTTGATGAGAGGAATTAATTTTCTGGCTAATACGCAAGGTCCGACAACATTGACTTCAAAATTTTTATCAACTCTTCGGTTGTGGCTTCATCAAGAGGTGTCATGATCGCTATTCCAGCATTGTTTATCAATATGTCCAAACCCGAGCTACCAACAATTTTTTCAACTTAAGAATAGAAGGCCTCAAAAGAATTGTAATCAGTTACTTTCAGTTTCAATATATGAACATTATTGTTAGCTTGGGCTATTGATTTTAATTCCTAGATGATAATGGAAATGAAAATCACAAAGAGTTACTTTAAATGTATCTTAATGTACAAAGAAATTGAATCTGCGTTTTCTTACCTTAGCAGCATCTGGGTTTCGACAAGTAGCAATAACATGAGAGATTTTAGGTTTCAGTGAAGCTAGTTGACGAACGAGTTCAAGACCGATTCCTCGGTTTGCACCAGTGACAAGGACAGAAGAAACATTAAGCATTTTGGTAGTTGTATTTACGGTTGATTGTTATTCCAAATAATAAAAAGCTTGATTCAAGTTTTTGGTTAGTTTGTTTTAAAGACGAATCTTCAACTAGAAAGCAAATGTTTTTATACCTTACTTATTAATGAATGGCATTTTATCAGATGTGTTGAATTATGCTACATTTTACAACATAAAGTGGAAGTGAGAATGTGGTACTATTGTATTATACTAGGAAGGATGTAAAACACAAGATTCAAAGCAATCAATAATATTGATTCAATATGAGAAAATTATTCATAAACTGAAAGATGAAATAAGCAAAGATTATAAGAACATATCAAACTAATGATCGACAATAAATTCTGGTATAAGAAAGAAGAAAAAGGAGTTCTACAAGGAACATCAAGTGGTCCATTATTATTCATCATGACTCTCGATTTTCCCATTAGACAATTCTCAATAGCGAAACCTGAAGCTGAAATTATTTCCTATGCGGACGATTTCATCATAAAGATCAAAAAATCAGCTGCTTGTATCAACCAACTATCAAAGTTCGTCGAGAAAGAGTACGAAACAACCATCACTCTGATTAAACAATTCTTGAGTGAGATAGACTTAACGATCAATTTCCAAAAATCCAATAATTATTATTATAATCAAACCAATAAATACACTTTTAACAAAGAATTCCAAATACTAGGATTTAACCTTACTAATAACAAACTCCAACTGACTCAACTCATCAATACTACATATAAGAACATTTTAACCGAATTCTCTGGGGTCATTCAATATCTACCATTCCTTCCACTCAAAATTAAGAAAATAATTATTGCTTCAAAAATCCTACCTACGATAAAAAAATGGGCTACTACATCTTCAAAGAATTATCACCTAAGGAACTAATCCTCACAATACTCAATGAAACTAAAAAACTACTTAATATCCTTCATAACAATTACACTGGGTACCAAACACTTTGGACGATATATAACCTGAAACATCAGATCCTCGAAATGTGGAAAACAATTATTGAAAACCAAAGAATCGACGATATAGCCATGATTAATTATTACATCCATCCCCCGATACACATTGAACAATATCCAATCGATGACCAATATTTTTGGCACAGAAGAAACAAAACTCTTCCGTCAATCAAAATTTACAACACAAAAACACAAATCAGCATCCAAGTAACGAACCAAATCTTGAGTTGTTTCAAAAAATCACAAAATCATGGCTGGCTTCTAATGGTGGTCGTGCAATTTGAACTAAACTGCCAGAAAATTTGGATTCCGTGGGAGATTGGTAAACACCTGAAAAAGAATTCAATAACAAAAAAGGAGTTATTACTAGTTTGTCGAAACAATATTCACAAAAACTGGACCTGGTACTCAGATGATCAGACAATCGAAACAATCATCATCCCGTCACATAAAATTAACATCAAAGAAAATAATTATTTACCAAATTATATGAAAAAACAACAAATACAAACAATTATTAATATGCAGATTATATCCATCCTCAAGGAAAACACAACAAACAATCCATGGATGACGTTATCACCCTCACTCGACTTTCTGGTTGATCCATATGGGAATATCGGCGTATTCAAATATTGGGACCTAGAAAAAATTATTCTAAATACAAGGAAAAACATGAGCTATATACAATGCTGTGATGAACTAATCACCTTTAAACATATGGATATCAGTCAGTGTCCAACAATGACAGAACTCAGAGAAACCCACCAGTTAACCAACTTTAACATTGAGAACACCGTAACCAGAAGAGACAAAACAAAGAAAATTAAACAATTATTAAATTTTCTAAATCAATCAATTGAAACATACAAACAAATAACAATTATTATTTGATTTATTGTAACGCTACACCTCTTCCCTCTTTCCCACAACTTTGTAAACCCAATAATTATTGTATTTCCTTCCCCCATCCCTCCCCCCACATTTGAAACCTTTTGAATGGCCGCCTAAGCCATTGATAATATGTAACCTAGGAGATGTAAAGGAAACACTCCTTGCCACATGTTTGATGGAGTTACTTCATAATCAAGTGCTCCGACCTGTAAATTGTAACAGGCAAAATTTGTAAAAGGTTTCGTATATGTACTTGTATGCGTTTTTCAATAATCAATCAACTTGCTCTAGTTAAATTTTGCGTGACAAATCCACTTCCGGAAGAGAGTTCGATTGCATGGGTGAAAAGTCGTTTGATATCCCAGACTTTGTCAGCCATCCGATAACCGAATTCTTCTTTTACATATTGATAAACAGCGAAATCATCCTTTTGCGCTGATGATTCTCTTTGACGGCGTTTAGCATCACGATCAAAAATATCACTTGATTTGGTAGACTTTTGGCATTTAGGGAATAACATACAACTAAAGACACTAAAAGTTCTAGGAGAAAGTTTCTGCATATTTGTTATTTTGATTAATTCATACTTTACAAAACAATAACAATAAAACACATTGAATTAAATTGAATCAATTTTTTTATTTACCAAAGTAAAACGGATAAATCTCCATAGAGAGAGCCAGAAATATATTTTCATTACACTTTAAAAGATGGCACTGATGTTATCATTTAGTATTGCTTTCCGTTTCCGTGAATTTTAAAGTTGTCTGCCACTTCTAATGGCACGAATTGAAACGCGCAAAACAGGTTCATCATCAATTAAATCAATGTGAAATGAGCCACCAGGTCGAGAACGGAAATAAGCAAGAATTTCGCGCATTCTTGCGGGTTCATGGGGATTATCACGTAAGTAAATATAACTATCTAAGAGAACATAACGCGGGAAGAGACGTTGTAGGAAGTTTTCAAGGAGCTGTATACATGTATTAATTATTCTGAACCGAAGGGTCTAGGATGGTCAAAACTTGATACGTAGACGTAATCACTCATTTGATTAAACATATTAATTGTAACAATACATTTTTTTAAATCAGAGCCATCTGTGGAAGCAGGAAAATAGTTAAACCTGAAGACTTTAGGTTTTCATTAAGTGGGCTCTCTTGTTGTACTTTTTGAAATAAAGACTGTGTTTTATTGTAACTGTAAGGCTTATTTTGCTGTGCTATTGGTATAAGATAGCAATCCTATTTTACCTTCATAGTGATTCACTATGAAGGTACATTTACCTTTTACAAACTGTAAAAGGTAAATGTAGTGAAAATAGTGGGAATAAGGTTATTATCACTCAAACATATGATTTGCTTGTGTAACTCAATTTTTTTATTTATCATTCAATTTGCGAAAATATCCAATCAAAATGGCTTTTAGGATGACAGTGAAATATTTGTTGGCTATACGCTTGTCAGTACCACAATTCCCATCTATAAATTGGATCCATCGGTAAGTATTCATTTAAATAATTATGATTCAAATGATTTTAATGTTTTTCACATATTTTTGTCTTTTGCTAGAAAAAAACTTATACTTTCACGGATGGAATCACAAGAGTTTACATGAACTTTGTACAAACTTGATTTGAAGATGGACTTCATGATATTTTTACAATAAAAGAGTGTCAATACTTGTCTGGTAATAAAAAATTAACCCTCGTCTTCGTAATACAACGTAAAGGTATCAATATTCAACGTTTGGGCATGTCTTTAACTAAAGGGTGTAACACTTAACAGCCTGCAAATTTAGAAGATAAGAATTAAGATTGAGCTTACCTTTAGCATAAAATTTGTTGATATCGATGACCAATGACCAATTGGTCTTGGTTTCCTGTCTCTGGGGCTTCATTATCTGTCTTCATCTTCATCAATATCAACAAATTTTATGATAAAGGTAAGCTCAATTTGAATTCTTATCTTCTTAATTTGCAGGCTGTTAAGTGTTACACCCTTTAGTTGAAGCTTTTTGACTTGTTTACTGAACAATGAAAAACTAATTATTGGTGATTTTTTTAAAATATTGTGGATTTGATTTATTATCAAACTTACAAAATTGATCTTATTTGATAATTTTCTTTTCCACTTTCAGACAACCAATCTTCACAAGAACTCGCCAAAAATCATGTTTACGCGTTGATACAAGAATTTATGTATTATATTATTCTACCCGAAAAAATCAGTCCACTTCGAATCGATACCGTTCAATATAATCTAAATGAAGCACAAATTGAAATAATAGTGAACATTCCTGGATACACCTAATTTTCAATGTAATTATCATTTGACATTTTACATTCATACAATTTAATTCAATTTTTTTCTTTTTCAGATATTTTCAACACTAAAACTATGTCTGTCAATGCGGATACATTTAAAAAGATGAAACCAATAAAAGCCAATCATGGTTTTGATTGTGTGCACAAGTTATCAAAAATCAAGGAATATATCAGGTATATTAATAATATATCACAAGAACAACAATCTCACAAGAACTAAATATTTTGATTCATTTGGAAACTAATAATTTTGTTTTTCTTTTCTCATTTAGTGTAGTAATTTATAGACCATCAGATTCTTCCTGTGGATATTTGACAAAGTTTGAAGATCTCGAGGAAGATACAAAAGCCGGAGAACCATGCATCGTCTATCACTTTCCTTTACAAAATTTGCAACGCATTGATCAAGAAATACCGCTGGATCAGATTCATAATACTTATTTGCAAAACTTATTAGTAAAAAGTCACGGCTTTTTCATTGGATATTATCGCAAGTACTTCTCAGCCACAAGCTATACCGAGCGTACAGGGGCAATATTCCTACTTTCAAGTGGATAACCTACAAGTTATAGTTACAGCTTCAACGAATTATAATCACGTTCCATTTGGCAATGTAAATGTTTTTTTTATCGAAAAAAAGTCATCTGCGTGTGAAATTTAGAAGTATGCAATCTTGGTCCTAAAACATGGTCATTATTTCATGAGTCAAACAGATAAATGTTCGAATTTTCTCAATAACATGTAAATGGTACTAGTTGAGGTTTTGTGGTTCAAAAGTGTGAGTAATTCACTCTAACCTAGAACCCTGATCTTATCAAAATCCTTTTTTAACCTTTTCTTTCAAGTCTATCCTTATGAATTAGTTGATATTATCGATAAAACGGAAAATGAAGATACCTCGGCTGGTCGCTTTCAATACATAATTAGAGCTTATGCAAAATTAAAAGTTACAGTGACGTTTCCAGATGTAAAAGCTTTAGATGATTGTTATCGAAACTGTCATAATTCAGAGCATTTTAAATGCAATACTTACTCATACTGTCAAAATGGTGACTGTAGAGTAAGCAGCTTATTAACTGAAGACTCGTATAATGAATCGCACGTTGAACAAGACAAATCATGTTCTATTTTGTCTTTGAATGTCATCAATGATTACTCCGAGGTATCTCAAAAAAATTTAAAACACAGACTAACCGCGGCGGAAAAAAGTAATATTTATTCTTGTGCAGAATATTGTCATGCTTCACTTGATTGTCTTTCCTTCCAATGGGGCGATTTCCAGTGTAGTTTTGGTGTTTATTATACAGATGCATCTGCTGAATATGTTGATGAATGCAGTGTATATCTTCGTAAGTATCCTTAGAAATGAGTAACAAGTTTTTTTTGTTTATCAATACAAGTGGAACCCCCGATCATGACTGATCGTAATTTTTTCACTGAAATACAATAAATTCAATCCATATCTAAAGACTCAAATTTTTGATGAAAAACCATCGTCAATGAGAAAAACTAAAAAATAAAATAAAATCTGGTTATACAGCTGAACAAAATAAAATCTTGTTGTACAGTTAAGGTACCATATTTTTCACTTAACTCTTTACTCGAAAGACGGTTTTACTTATCATTCTAATCCAACAATAAACAATCAACCTGAATAACCAAAAAGTTTTTCCCCCAAAGTCAATAGTAAAAGATACGGATTCTGCATTTTTTCCCCCAGCCTATTTGGACGCTAATTTCTCAGTAACCTCAGTTCCGAGAAAGTTCGAACTATTTTTTGCGATTGTAGTTTAATCATGGCTTTCATTCTGTGAGAAAATTTTCTTTAGAACACGTTTAGTTTGCCCACAATCTTCCCGCAAAAATTTCATAGTTTGACTTTATATATTGTAAAGATTGTAAAGTGGAAAACTTTACCGAAGTAAATGACACGAACTAATGTAAAACAATGTAGTCTTTATTGATTCAAGTAGCTACTTTTCAGACTGAGTGGTACTGAATCATAGAACTGAATGAATTGACGAAGCAGGAGCTTCGACTTATTGCCGTTAATTTACTTCGTAGAGCCTCAAGAGACACAAGGATTGGTAAATACAATATTCCCAAAGATACTGTTGTAATTTTCAATTTATGGAGCATTCACCGAGATCCAAAGCTATGGCCTGAACCAGAAAAGTTTGATCCTAATCGATTTCTGTCTGAAGACGGTAGCAAAGCTGTAAAACTACCTTACTTGGTCCCTTTTAGTGGAGGTAAAAGGATTTGTCCCGGAGAAGGCCTAGCCAATGTGCCATTATTCTTGTACCTTGTGAATATTTTGCAAAAATATCGAGTGCGATATGATCCAGATGTAAAGTTGTCTTTTGAAGCAAAATTTTGTGTTTCAAGGCGACCAAAATATTCACCTCCTTTAATATTTGAAAAAATCGGTTAATTTCTTTGCTGTTCTCTTGTTTTGCTAACTAATAGATCTAATGGATTCTGAAATTTGTCGACCATTGTTACCATTAAACAAGTTGTTCATGTCTCTTTTAATATTTGTTGTATGTTGAAGAAATGTCTTAATTTCTCTTCTTAATTAAATCATAATTAATAAACAATGACTAAGTTTTCATCAATGAGAACTGTTTTGTGCATCAGACAATGTTCATGTTAATAAATAAATTGCCCAATGTATAATATAAAAAGCTTAAGAATGTATTTTAAACGCCCAAAAGAACAGCAACACTTAATGAGCTAAATTTTAAGATTATGAAGTGGCCTGCACGCTCACCTGACCTCAATTTTATTGGAAATTAAGGTGGATGCTTTGGGTGGGTGGTTATTGATAGAATCTACTAACGATACGATAAAATATCGAATATCTTCATGTAATTGATCCATCCCTTCGACTTATTTAGTTTCTCGAGTTGGTTTCATTGGAACAGTCATTTTCAACTTTGCTTTTTTAACAAATCCTTCCTTAGGAGTGAATCTAAATCCAGTGAATCCTGCAGCAAACGCCAATATAAATGCTATTGTCCCCAATCCTATTGCTAAAGAGAAGTCATTTGATTTCGTTGATGTTTTCGTTAATGATTCAGTTGTATTAGTTTGTATCGGTGGATCAGCTTCACTCTTTCCTGTAATTTTCTTATGGTTGATGTAAATTGAACAAATTTTGGTTTTGCTTTTTGACTCTTCAAATAGTTCAGGATTATTAAATTTATTTGGTTTCAAGTTTGCCAATGAACAACTCGTCAATGAAAATTTTTTATAGTAAATTTGACTATAATCAATTGTTTCGCAAAATTCAAAAGTAAAACAATTGGGATCTGAATTGCATTTGGAAGCACATAGTTCTAGTGATAAATGGTCAAAGGTTCCAACAATAGATTCTTTCATATCATCTTTCAATGCAAGTCCAACTTTATGTTCATAAGCAAGTTCAGATTTTTCTGTGAAACCAAAAAAATTGAATAATTAGTAAATATGACCAGACTTGAGCTAAGATTAGATTAAAGAAATGGTTTTACTTGAATAATGGGAACATCCAGCTTCAGCCTTCTTCCAGTTTGTTGCGTTTATTTGATGAGCTACATCTATCGCAATGTGATTGACATGTAAGAAACAAACAGATTCATTTCTGAAAAGAATTAAGATACAAAATAGAATGAGAATTCATTGAATTATTACTACTATAAGTATTACTAATCGTAGATAAATATACAATAATATTGCAATAAATTTACGAGTATCATCATCAATAATACCATAGGTAGTAGGTTGAGTCAAGTCGAATCAAGTTGAAAATTGTATGACTATTCAAAACGCTATTTCATAACAATTTCAACACGTTGTTAATGAAAAATTCAATAATATTAGTCTGTTGTCTTTATGGATCATCTAATTGCCTGTATTATGCTTTGATCGATTATCATGATTGTGACCAATGGATTTTAACTATTTATGATTTGCATCGAGTTCATTTTTCACATAAAATATTAAAATTTCTGATAAGTTTCGACTTACCTTTGATCGTTATCTTGGCAATAATCAAATGATTCACAGTTGAAATCATTCGATTGAGCACATTTTTTAGCACAATCACCAATTGGTGCATCAGATATGGTTGAGACGGCATCCAGAACTAGATTTTTTCCAGGATACTCATGGAATAGATTTATTAAAGATTCTAGATTGAAATTAAGGAACAAAATTAATTCAAGAAATAACAAATTAATGGGATAATGAATTTACTTTGATATATGTCACATCCATCTGCATGGCTTGTTTTATCTTCGAATGTGTTATTCAATGAACTCGATGTTTCTTCACTCAGAATGCATTCCTTATTCTGGTTAACACAATATGAAAGTGTATTACAATCATCATCATTCAAACAAGCCATGAAACATTCGTTTAGAGTACTTTTCTCGATCTTGAATTGTCCTTCATTGAAATGGCGATCAGTTTTAATGATCGGAAAATCTTCACCTCTTAAAGGTCTAAAGGAACCCTGTCTATGTAACTCTTGGGAAATATCACCGATCTCTTCAGGACCATTAACAATGAACACATCTTCGAATCCACCTTCTTGGAGCTTATTCCTTATCTGTTGTAATACATGTGGCATTGACGATAAATAATTTTTGCTAACCAATGGCTTAACATAAGCCTCTGATCCTCTATAATAAAATTTACATTTCTCATCGTATATTGATTCGGCAGTATCCCAAAAAAGATCTTCTTTTGTAAAAATTGAACAGTCATAATCCGTACAGAAACTAAAATCAATACAATTTCGAGTGGAACTGCACAGTCGTTCACAGTCCTCGACTTTAAATATTTTTAAAGTATTTAAAGGATGCCTAATTTTACGTTCATCAAAATGTTGATAAACATCAATGAAGTGCACTGGATCAAAAAGCTTAACAGTAACATATATATTAGAATCAACTCCTTGTGCATGAATTTCACCAATGCGTGTTATTGGAATGAATGAAGTCAAGAATTTTTTAGTGGATTCCTTGACTGATTCCATATTGTATTCAGTCATCAAAGGATTTGAAAAGAAGAGTTGAAACCAAGTATAGCTTCCAGGTTCTGCATAACAATCAGAAACATCGAATCGATCTTCGTAATCAATGTATTCGTCTTCGTAATTGATTATGGTAACTTCCACTTGAGTTGGCACATCAGCGTAATTATAGCGATAATCATCATCGCCTCGATCTGGAGTGAATATGATTTTACTTGGGACAGAGTTACTGGTGTTCTGGGTGTAATAATAGTCAACAATGCCATCAACATTATAGAAGAAGCTTTCTGCTCTGTACTCTTCCACTCGAAAAGCTCCAAAAGGTATATCACCAATAAAAGTTGGTACTTGATATGCATCTGGTTTCATTACCAGATAGTACAATAGATTGAAACCACGGTGCTGATGATATGGCCAACTGGTGACCAGTGTAATAAGAGTAGAATAATCTGATGTTAAATACTGGCATCGACCAGTGTGTTCATTAACTTGAAATCGTCCTAAAGGAGGAGGCATTTCAATGGAACGAACGAAATCAGTTTCTTCTTGGATTTCGTACGCAAACACATCGCCTCGTTTCAATACTCGACACGTTGATTTGATAGAGTCATGGTTAGGATAGGCTATTATCGCTTCCATGTCCATGGAAAACTCTTCAACCTGACTGAAAGCTGGTAATGGAGTAGATGGACGAGTGCCTTTACGAGCACATCCATAACCCAATGGATAAGGAATGGGATAATCTGATGATATGACAAGTGGTTTGAACATGTAAAAGTTATAAACGTATTTTGAATCGGAATCAACTTGCTTTTTAACTGTTTGAGTCTCATTTATTGAAATGACTTCCTGAGTCTCAACCCATTTAGGATAATACAACGAGAACCGATAAGGTAATGAAGTCGCAACATCAAAGTAAAAGTCAATGTAAGGTCCATTAGGGTTGCTACAATAAAACCAGTGATTAACAGTACGACCTTCAATCAGTTCGGATCCTATGAATGAAGCTCTATCACTTATGCTGTTGGCATAAATCATCAACACTGTTGGTCCCAAATGAACCAAATCTCTAAACATCTCTGAACTAGCGACAATATCTTTTGGTTGGAACCAATCTTTGATCGATTCAATCTTCTCATTCTGGGTTAATTCCAACCTTTTACATATACCTTCTCGAACGGCGATCTTTTCCTCTGTTGAATGATAATAATAACGTCGATAAATTTTACTTTGAATGGCTGCTTCCAAATCAATAAAGCCAACTTTATTTTGTAGATCATAATAATCATGGACCAAATTGTTTCGAGTTGGATTAATGACTTCAACAGAAGCATGATAACCATTTTGTTTATCAATCAAGCTGAGAACATTTGGAACTTTCAATTCACCAACTTTACCCCTTTCAGGGCATTTGAAATTATCACAAAGAATTGAGTTTATTGAGTAAAGAAAACAGAGAAAAAAAGAAAAATGGAGAAAATTTTTCATCTTAAACTTTGATCGTTGATGTTGGGAAAAGTGACTTGAATAAAATTAATCAAACACTTTCGCATCTATTTAAAACAAAAATTTGCAATCAAATAATGGCATGAAGAAAATTATATCTGAAAATGTATCAGCGTTCCAAGGGGCGTCAAAAGATTAACTAACAATTGTAAGTTCGAATGGTATTTTTGTTCGAGGTGAAAATCTGTGAAAGTCAGATGACTGATTTACTTTAATTTCAACAATGGAGGTGTGAAATTGAAACCATTACCGAAGCCAACAATCTTGGTTCTACCTGAAAGTTGTGATGATAAGTCTTGTCGATGATTGCTCATCTTTTATCCTTTAAAATAGCTCAGCTTGTATTTAATGTATTAAGTAATAAGTAATAAGTAAAAACCGCTGCACATTTTCTTGTTTGCAATAATAAAAATTCATTTTGAGCAAATCAAAATCAATTTCGAACGTGATCTGGGCATCTTTACTGATTCAAAGTTAAAGAAACTAAGTAGAATTGGATGGGTCCCAAGCATCGAAAAAGTTTTCCTTTAGTCAATAAATAGACTAAAATTAAATGTTCATGCATAAAAAGTTTACGCACTCTAACTTGACCAGTTCGCGAGATTTCCGAGAGATTTCATTTGAGATCTATTTATTATAATGCATTTTGAAGAAAATGTGAATTATCAATTTTTTTGCTTGAAAGTTTTATTTTAATTGCTACTCACTGATTAATAGCATGGAATACAATTATTTATCTTGGGAGCAACATGAGTCACACACATATTCATGCGAATCCTTTCCTCAAAGATCAAGGGGCTTTCTATCTTGTGAGTCGTAAATATCACTGAGCAGTTCGTACTATGAAAGGTAATTTGAATCCACATCGGTAACCATCAAGTGACTTGAAAGTGAACAACTTGTCGATAACTCAGATCATCTTGATTACCAATCTGAATAGAAAGTCCAAGCAGAATTGTGTTAAGTGGTTGTCATCCAACTTCGAGTCCAGACAAAGAGATTCTCATTCTTTGTATTGATATCTATTCTATTCAAAATGTACTTGCAGATGCTAGTAGATGCTTACATTGAAATGAAATTTCTCAAGATCTAGTTCAAAGCAAGTATTATTCAATAAGGGTTGTTGGGAGAAAATATTGATTCAGATATTTTTCATTTTTAAATGCACTTTTCCAAATAAAAACATGAATTCATACTAAAACTCATTGTTTCCCCTTGATTAGCTCCAACTGGAATTGGATGTCCACATTACTTATCTGGAAATAAACGATTTCCAGAGTTGCAAGTTTCTCACCTACACCTCACCATGGATGAACGAATGCAAGGTTTAAATACATCTCGATCACTCAGTAAGGTTAGTTTATTTATCAAACATCGATTAGTGTTACATTTTATTTATATTAGTGCAATAGTATTGAACTAAATCATGAATATCTCATAGTGGGAACAAGATCCAACATTGAAATCGGGTCTAATCAATGTTCAGTGAATTAACTATGAAACTTATCGTCGATTGATCTTTCATTTCAAAGATAAAATTTGTAAATGTTGAGTTCCTATTACTTTTATTTGTCATTTGTCATTAAATTCATTTTGATTTCAAATTTATGTTGTCCATTCTGTTGTACAATAAGTTGTCCATGCACCTTTTAACATTTGTTGCATGTTAAAGAAATCTTTTGCCATCTCTTATTAGTGGTAAATAAAATCCTAATTAATCAAACAGTGGCTTTAAGTTTTATTTTTCATCAATGCCAACTGTTTCGTGCATCGAAATGCATGAATTATGTTTGTGTGAATGAATATTGGTAAATTGCCCAATGTATAAAAAGCCTAGCCATGTATTTTTTAAACACCAAATGAACTGCAAAACTTAATGAGCTGGATTTTAAGATCATGGAAGGGCCTGCACATTCACTTGAGCTCAATGTTATTGAAAATTAAGGTGGATGCTTTGGGTGGGTGGTTAGCATTAGAGTCGGTTTGTGTAAGAAAAGTTTTGTTCTGAAGTGTAGTCAGTTAAAATTGTCTTTTTATACAATGTTTTATTGTTACCATCTTAATCTTCATCATCACCCTTTGACTTATTTAGTTTCCCGAGTTGGTTTCATTGGAACAGTCATTTTCAACTTTGCTTTTTTAACAAATCCTTCCTTAGGAGTGAATCTAAATCCAGTGAATCCTGCAGCAAACGCCAATATAAATGCTATTGTCCCCAATCCTATTGCTAAAGAGAAGTCATTTGATTTCGTTGATGTTTTCGTTAATGATTCAGTTGTATTAGTTTGTATCGGTGGATCAGCTTCACTCTTTCCTATAATTTTCTTATGGTTGATGTAAATTGAACAAATTTTGGTTTTGGTTTTTGACTCTTCAAACAGATGATGTTGAATGTTACTTGGTTTTAAATTGGTCAGTGTACAACTCGACAATGAAGCGCTTCTACCCGAAATTTGATTATAATCAATTGTTTCACAAAACTCGAGAGTAAAACAATTGGGATCTGAATTGCATTTGGAAGCACAGTGTTCTAGTGATAGATGGTCAAAGGTTCCAACAATGGATTCTTTCATATCATCTTTCAATGCAAGTCCAACTTTATGCTCATAATCAAGTTCAGACTTTTCTGTAAAAGTAAAAAGATTGTTTAATTAGTAAATATTGACCAGACTTTGAGCAAAGATTAGATTAAATAAATGGTTTTTACTTGAATAATGGGAACATCCAGCTTCAGCAAACTTCCAGTTTGTTATATTTATTTCACGAGTTTTATCTATCACAATGTGATTAACATGTAAGAGACAAATAGATTGATTCCTGGATGGAATATGGATGAAAATAACAAAAAAGAAACTCATTAATAGCCATTGAATATGTTCTCATAATTTTAAATAGTTTGGTTTTGTGTTAATCAAAAATGAGTTTTGTATCAGTTTGAAGTTCAGTCTCTTTTGAAATCCAATACTTTGAATAACCGTCAATATTTAAATAAAGTTCATCAACAGCAAAAGCGGCAAAATAGTCAGTTCAACTTACCGGTTATTATTGTTTTCACAGTAATCGAACGATTCACAATTGAATGATTCTGATTGAGCACATGTGCTAGCGCAATCACCAATTGGTACATCAGGTATGGTTGAGACGGCATCCAGAACTAGATTTTTTCCAGGATACTCATGGAATAGATTTATAAATGATTCTGGATTGAAATTGAGGAACAAAATTAATTCAAGAAATAACAAATTAATGGGATAATGAATTTACTTTGATATATGTCACATCCATCTGCATGGCTTGTTTTATCTTCGAATGTGTTATTCAATGAACTCGATGTTTCTCCACTCAGAATACATTCCTTATTCTGGTTAACACAATATGAAAGTGTATTACAATCATCATCATTCAAACAAGCCATGAAACATTCGTTTAGAGTACTTTTCTCGATCTTGAATTGTCCTTCATTGAAATGGCGATCAGTTTTAATGATCGGAAAATCTTCACCTCTTAAAGGTTTAAAGGAACCCCGTTTATGTAATTCTTGGGAAATGTCACCAATCTCTTCAGGTCCATTCACAATGAATAGATCTTCAGCTGATAGCCCAAGCAAACGAAATTTGCCTGATGAGACTTTATTCCTTATCTGTTGTAGTACGTGTGATATGGTTGACAGATAATTTTTATTCACTAATGGAATAAGATCAAATTGATACTTGGACCGAGAATAAGAAGTACATCCTTCTGTGTAGTGGAATGAAGTTGAGTATTGAGAGCCACGAGTACTTTGATATATTGAACAATCATAATCGTCACAATAGCTGAAATCAAAACACTTTTCAGTTGCACTACAGAGCTGTTCACAGTCTTCGACTTTAAATCTTTTAACAATATATGCAGGATTGTTAATTTTATATGTATTGTGAAGAAGATAACCCTTAATTAAATTTACACGATCATAAAGCTTAACAGTAACATACACATTAAAATCAACTTGTTGTGCATGAATTTCACCAATGCGAGTTACTGGAATGAATGAAGTCAAGTATTCTTCTGTCGATTGCCTGATTGCTTCCAAATTGAATTCGCTCAGCGAAGGATTTGAAAAGAGAAGTTGAAACCCAAGTATAGCTTCCAGGCTCTTCATAACAACCGGAAACATCGAATCGATCTTCGTAATCAATGTAAACTTCTTTGTAATTAATTATGGTTACTTCAACTTGAGTTTCATAAGAATAATAATCGCTTGGATCCTCAGTGAATATGACTTTACTCGGAACAGAGTTACTTGTATTTTGAGCATAATAATAGTCAACAATGGCAGCAATACCATTTCTGAAGAAGTTAGTTGCTTTGTATTCTTCCACCCGAAAAGGTCCTAAAGGTATATCACCAATGAAAGTGAGTGCTTGATCTTTAGGTGGTTTCATCAGCAGATAATAAAATAGATTGAATACTTGATTTTTATCGGAAGGCCAACGGGTTACTAGTGTAACATCAAATGGATAATCTGTTGTTGAATGGCTACATTGACCGGTGTGTTCGTCGACTTGAAATCGTCCTAAAGGAGGAGGCAATTCAATGAAACGAACAGAACCATCATTTTCTTGGATTTTGTATGAAATAACATCACCTCGTTTCATTACTCGAGCAGTTGATTTGATAGGGTCATGGTGTGGATAGGTGATTATTGCTTCCATGTCCAAATTAAAATTATTAACTTGACTGAAATTTGGTAATGGAGTAGATGGAAGAGTGCCTTTACGAGTACATCCATAACCCAATGGATAAGGAATGGGATCATCTGATGATATGACAAGTGGTTTGAACATGTAAAACTTCTTGCTTGTTGAACTTGCTTTTTAACTGTTTGAGTCTCATTTATTGAAATGACTTCCTGAGTCTCAACCCATTTAGGATAATACAACGAAAACCGATAAGGCAACGAGGTCTTAACATCAAAGTAAAAGTCAATGTAAGGTCCATTAGGATTGGTACAATAAAACCAATGATTAACACTACGACCTTCAATCAGTTCGGATCCTATGAATGAAGCTTTATCACTAATATTGTTGGCATAAATCATCAACACTGTTGGTCCCAAATGAACCAAATCTCTAAACATCTCTGAACTAGCGACAATATCTTTTGGTTGGAACCAATCTTTGATCGATTCAATCTTCTCATTCTGGGTTAATTCCAACCTTTTACATATACCTTCTCGAACGGCAATCTTTTCCCCTGTTGAATGATAATAATAACGTCGATAAATTTTACTTTGAATGGCTGCTTCCAAATCGATAAAGCCAACTTCATTTTGTAGATCATAATAATCATGGACCAAATTGTTTCGAGTTGGATTAATGACTTCTACAGAAGCATGATAACCATTTTGTTTATCAATCAAGCTGAGAACATTTGGAACTTTTAATTCACCAACTTTACCCCTTTCAGGGCATTTGAAAGTATCACAAAGAATTGAGTTTATTGAGTAAAGAAAACAAAGAAAAAAAGAAAAGTGGAGAAAATTTTTCATCTTAAACTCTGATGATTGTTTTGATTTTGTATACTTTGATTGTTGATGTGGGAAAAGTGACTTAAATGAAATTAATCAAACACTTTCGCATCTATTTAAAACAAAAATTTCCAATCAAATAATGGCGTGAAGAAAATCATATCTGAAAATGTATCAGCATTCGAAGGGGCGTCAAAAGATTAACTAACAATTGTAAGTTCGAATGGTATTTTTGTTCGAGGTGAAAATGTGTGAAAGTCAGATGACTGATTCGCTTTGATTTTAATAATGGAGGTGTGAAATACAATTCATTACTAAAACCAAGAATCGCCTGTTTCGCGTTTTCGCCCCAGGCTTAGATAGCTTGTTAGTAGTAAAGGTTGACTATTGTGTTAAAAAGGCGGGGCCTATTCCCCACTCCTGTAAGGAGAGAGCATGCGCAAAACATTAAATGCCATCTTCATTGTAGAGTACTTATCTACTTGCTCTTGGTTATGAACCGGAGTTTAACTTACAAGGGAAGTTAACCAAGTGCCACTCGGATATTTTGATGTTTGATGGCACATTCGATAGATCTAAAGGTGTAGATGATTGAGTTGTTGGGTTTTGCCTGCAAATTGGGTGGTTCCTAAGATATTTGGGTTTAAAATTTGGCAACTTTGTTTATAATAAAAATTATAATTAGGTCAAAATGTGTGCTGAGGTTGCGCCGTGGTTAATGTTCAGTGACTGACCCCAAGACGCAAGACACAACATATCAAAAATTAACGTCTTAACGCATCCGCTGACCAATAGGCCACCATAAGGTTTTAAAAATTGAATGGCTCCATCTTTTGATTAAACCTTTGCTTCAAGTGGTTTAAACCCTTGTCATAGTTTCTAGTCTTCATGACTAATAAATTAGACAAATAGAATGAGTTTAGGTACTAACCCGTAGAGGGAGACTACCAAAATTTTCAGAACTTTACGGAACCCTCCACTGTTGTTAATTAATTTATTAGGTCATCCGGAATGTCTTACCCCTAAGGATGACGGAGTCAGTTTAGAAAATTTTTATTTAAAGTGATTTATGGCATAAATAATTATACAGCGTTGCCGCCGAATAGGTAATTTTGCAATACCCTCCGCATACGCTGGTGGCTTATTTTCGAAAAAACTATTATTTGAGACTTAAGTGCGTCTATTGAAGCACAAGCTTTACCTCTAAGAAATCTGTTGGGTTTAGCGAACAAATAGAAGTCGCCACGGGCCATACCTGGAGAATAGGGGGTAAACCAGCAAAAACCAGTTTAACTTGTTAAGTTGTCTTCTTTGGCCATGGTATCTGCAGCCCTGTGTGTTTTTGCATTATCTTGTAAGAAGACTGGTCTTCTCTTCGAACTCTTCGCTCTTCGTTCTCTTCTTCCTGAGCTTGAACATTGACTAACTTTATCCAGCTATCTTGTGTATTCATTTCAGTCAAAAGTTGTACCAGGTTCCATAAACTATAGTTAAAACTGAGTTCAAAAACGCATTGGGCTGTTATTATACCAGGAAACGTAAAATCGCAAAATATCCGGTACAGCCCTAAAGCGCACTTGGACACTTCCTCACTTCCTTAATAACATCAGCGTATTTCACTAATCCTAATGACATCCTCTCTCTTTTATCTACATTTTGGTTTTTCAAACTAAGAGTTATTTCAGCAGCTAGTTTAAATAATAAAAGAGTGCGTTTATTTATGAAGAGATTAACTAAAGAAAAAGTAGTTTCACATGTATGGATACCCTTAACCTAATACTCGTTAACCACACCCTTACTTATCTCGATCCTTGGTTACTACTATGCCTTCAGTTTTAGATTCCTATAAAAGGCAAGATGTTAACCACATCTTAAACATACCATCTTCAGTCAGCAAACAAGAAAGTTTGATATTTCACTACTTGTATATTAACATCATTGCTTTCACTCTGTTGCCAAAACAGATCATAATGCTCTTTTCGATGTTTTATTTTGCTCAATTCATCAAGCAGTTTGCAAGTACCATTGCAAACAAAATTTTTAGCTACTTTTTCAATGAAATTTTAAACTGGTTTTTCAATCGTTTTTCGAACAAAGCTTCACCCACTCCAACATCTTCATCGAAATCGTTGAATGCTGATTGCATCATCACCATTCACTGCAGTATTGAAAAGATCTATCGTATACGTGATAAAGTCTCGCGCGAATTCTACAAAAAGTGCACCAATGATGGCGAAATTGTGAGGAGTTATGAGTCCTACCAACCAGACATAGGAACGTCTTCCACTGTAACTCTTGTTGCTTCAGGTGTTGGCCAATGCACGCCGTTGGACCTTTCAACTAAAAAATAGTTTAACTTAACATTTTGCTGTCATATTCAATTTTATAACATTAAATAATAATTTTCATTGCTTATCTCTGTCTTTTTCTATATTTACGTAGATTTAAGTACACAAGTAGACTATATCTCAGCTAAAACATAATATATTCACCTATATAGTTCATATATAGTCTTTTCACCAAATTTATCAAGTTCTTTTCTGCACATTCGCAGATAACAATGCATGAGCTATCATGATGAAGATCAAGTCGAGCTCACGATAATAATATCATACACTGCTTGTCAAAAGTATAAGGCCACTTGATTTTCTTCGGTATTTCTAAATTTTAGCTGATTTTCTGAACTCTTTCTAATTGGATTATACTAAGCCATGGGAGAATAGCATTTTCACTCAATTAAAATTAATTTAAGACTCAAATTTTTAAACTGAAGATTAAAATTAAGGAATGCATATGTTAGCCACATGGTCAAAAGTATAAGGCCACTTTAATCCAATTGAAATAATTAGGCCAAAAATTAGTTTAAAAGAGAATGCATTGATTTTTCCTGGTCATTTTTTCGAGTTCAGTACTCAGTTTTTCTCTATTTCCAATAGTTTTTGATTTATCTTACTTTGTTCTGCAATTACATAATGCCTCGTTCATCAGCTTTAAATGACTATGAAAAAGGTCAAATTGATACAATGATTCAACAGGGTATCTCTCTAAATGCAATAGCGCAAGAAATTAATAGATCAAGATGTGTTGTGCAAAATTATGCCAAATTAAAGGAAAATTACGGTACATCTCCTCGCTCTGGACGCCCCCCTGTGCTAAGTGATCGTGATAAAAGGAAAGTTTTGGGACTCGGATCATCAGAAAAGTTATCTTGCTAAAAGATTTTATCGGAACTGCAACTTCCTGTTTCATTAAGCACTGTTACTCACACGTAAAACCAATCTGGATTGTTTGAGTACACATCGATGGATGTCAAACCAAAACTAACGGAAGCTAATCGTGCTAAAAGGATTGAATTTGCTCGTGACATAAGACTTGGACTGATGAATGGCTTTCAGTGATATTTTCTGATGAAAAAAAGTTTAATTTGGATGGTCCAGATGGATTAAAATGTTATTGGCATGATCTTAGAAAGGATAAAAAGTTTTTTCTAAACGCAATTTCGGTGGTGGTTCAATCATGATATGGGGTGCATTCAGCTTCAATGGAGTTCTACCAATCGTCAAAATTTCCTCATCAATGAATTCAATGGACTACATCAAAGTGCTGGAAGAAAATTTAATCCCTAATGCTGAATCAAATGCCGGTACTGATTGGATTTTCCAACAAGATAATGCAAGGATTCATGTCTCTAATGCAACAAAAAACTTTTTTGAGACAAATTCTGTCAAGGTATAAAGCTGGCCAGCATGTAGTCCAGATCTGAATCCTATCGAGAATTTATGGGGATTGACTGCGGGGAAAGTTTATGCCAATCAAAGACAATTTAATAAGATTGATGAATTATGGACTGAAATTCAGAATGTATGGTATGGAATCGAACCCGAATATTTGCAAACCCTCGTCAAGTCTATGAGCAACAGAATCTTCGATGTAATCAAATTGAATGGTAGCCAAACTAAATATTAATTAGGAAATTAATAAGTGCCTTATACTTTGACGACGCAAAATTTTAATTTTTCCCCTAATTTTTCTCCCTCGATTTTTTTTGGATTTTTTTTCTTGATTAGTCGCAGCAATAAAAAGTTATCATCTTTTTGATAAGGTGCAGGTTTTTTCACCTTTTATTTTAAAAATTATCAAGAAAAATCAAGTAACCTTATACTTTTGACAAGCAGTGTATGATATTATTATCGTGAGCTCGACTTGATCTTCATCATGATAGCTCATGCATTGTTATCTGCGAATGTGCAGAAAAGAACTTGATAAATTTGGTGAAAAGACTTGAAATCATACGTTAAAGTCGGTTTATAATACCAAAACAGCGCAGTAGTTGATAAGGCATGCACCAGGAACCTAATAACTTAATCTTTTCAACTTTTTCAAATTCAAACACTAACTCCGATTTAATCTATTTCCAACCTTCTGCTTTTAACAAACACAAATTCTGTGCATTGACCTTCATAGCAAAAAGTAGCATTTACAATCAACATGGGAGTCTATAGGATTGGTTCATGCCCGAAGGCATAATAAACAAAGATCATCATCTAAGGCATGCTTTTTTAATGATTTCAGGTAAGTTTCAGCCATTTTGTTCCCTACCCAAACTAATAAATGTTTCTTCTTTTTTCAGTTAACAACCAATCAGACCCTCCAACAACAAAAAGGACCAGGGCTCAATCAAGATCACCAAGGTTGATAACGAGACACCTAATCTAGATAACAACATTAAAAGTAATGAAAACAATCAAGAGACAGATGGTGACAATGGTGAAGGCAATGGAATAATCCAAAGTAATGACAACAACGTAGAGACAAATGGTGACAATGGTGATTCCAATGGAAACAATGCAGATAATGGTGACAAGGCAACCAACCAAGACACTAATGCTTACAATGGTGATTCCAATGGAAACAATGTTAATATTGAAGGTGATGATAGTGATGGAGATAGATTGGTGATACTCGCACGAGTAAGATATCATTTTTACGAGATATCATTATGATCTTTTCATAAGATACCATTATAATAGTTAATATAACCGTCCATAACTGCTTAATTTTGTTTTTACATTCTTCCAGGCAGATTGCTTCCAGCTCACACTCCAATATTAACAAATATTTTACCCGTTTGCTCAGCATGGGAAATTGAAAAAATAGAAGGATACCATGTGGATAAAGAGGGTAATACTCTGGTACGATTTAGATATCCTGCATACTGGGCAGCTCTATCAACCTTCTGCAACTGAAAGAATTCAAAACGCGGATGAGATGAAAAAAGAAAGAGAAGAAGGAAGATGAAAAAAGCGAATCTGATGTAAACGCAACCGAATTTATACAAGAAATGAAAAAAGGGTGAAAAAAATTAAGATGATCCAATTGTTTTTTCATGTGTGTGTTGCGAAGCCACGTGCAAAGTTTTGAAATCATGTGAAAATCACGTCTTGGTGTATCAGGAAATTACCACAGCAGACTAAAGCAGGACTGTAGGAAAATTTTAATTAAAGATGGATTTAAATATCCAGAAAGCAAAATACCAGTATCTTTACCAGACCAAAAAAGTAGCCTTGGTAACCTG